AGATGCAAGTTGACTGCTCTATTCCTCTGTATTAGTGCTAATAGGATGAAAGCATAGAAGGTGGTATCATTATCATGTGGATATATTGGCTGTGGTTTATTTCCTAGGGAGGGAAACACCAGTTTAAATTGATGAACTGAAATCTGTTTACAAATTCCACAGTCAATTTAATCTGGTATAAATCAGCTCTGCTACAGAAAGGGCTTGTCTGTCAGACAGCTATGGCTGCTTATCCCTGCCTCCAGTTTCTTCCAGCACTACTGCTCACATGATGAACCACATCAGGGAACTGATCTAGCTGAAAACTAACCTTTTTTTTTTTTTTTTTGGTCAGCTGAGTGTTCATTCAGATAATCTCCCCACGCCAGCTCACTCACTCATGGCTGCACAAACAGTAATAGCAGTGTGAGGGAGGTAGTACAAACAAATAGCCCATGGTGTAAGACAGAGGGGGACTCATCCTTTTAGCAGCAGCCGTTTATCCTGCTTAAGCTGATCATGGACCTGTGGCATTAGTTAAACTGGCGCCAGTCACTGTATGGATTATCTTATTTTCCTGCTTTTTATTTCCTCAAGTCAATTTGTGGCAAATTCAAACTAAACCAATGTAAGCTTACAAGAAAATATGGGGACAAATCTTTTAGCAGGGCCTGTTGCAATAGGACAAGGGGTAATGGTATTAAAGTAAAAGAGGGCAGATTTAGACTAGATATAAGGAAGAAATTTTTCACAATGGGTGTGGTGAAACACTGGCCCAGGCTGCCCAGCGAGGTGGCAGATGCCCCATCCCTGGAAACTTTCAGGGTCAAATTGGATGGGGCTCTGAGCAACCTGATCTAGTTGAAGATGTCCCTGCTCATTGCAGGGGGGGCTGGACTAGATGGCCTTTAACGGTCCCTTCCAACCCAAACTGTTCTGTGATTCTATGATTCTATAAGCCATTCTTAACCTGAAGTGAAAAAAGCTGCTCAGGGCATTTATACTGCTCATTTGAACCAGTGCAAGCCCTTGTGCCTGTGTATGATCTCCACTTCATAGACACACAGAGATGCAGAGGCAATAACAGCAATCGCTACATGATCCTACAGGAAATTCTTGACAGTAATAAGAGCTGGTCTGACCAGCCCCTGTCAAGAAAGTTCTGTGACACCATAAAAATCATTCAGTCTGACTGTGTTTAAGTTCTACATATCCTTTAGAAAGTAAGAATGTCTGTGTATCTGTCAGAAGTCCTAGTAGCAGCTGTAGCCAACAAAAAAATCAATAAAAATAAAAAACACAGGCTGGCTAGTATTAGGTCTTTCCATCCAGGATCCTTACCATTTAATGAGTTAAGCATACCCTGAGAGCTCCCAGCCTAGACTACGTGGGGTTTGTCCTTTCCTCAGAGAACCTCAGTAGGTCACCCAGGCTGACAGCTTTGCTTCACAGAAGTCTCTACTCCCAAGATTTCAATAAATGTCCGGGGAGGATATAACTGCTTTCCATTGTTTTCCATAATATTCTGCATAACTGATTTAACATTGCGCAATCTGGTTAGAGATCTAGTCCTCGCCCTAAACTGGAATTTCAGAACCTAAAACCTAAACAGCAGACACTTTGGCTACACTGGCTGTTGTTGAATTTTGCATATCCCAGAGCAGGCTTTCCAGCACAAGTCCCAGGAAGCCAGGGACACCCACATTTTCCTCATCCTTGTTTCTTTTTTGCCATTGTTACCTCCAGTCCTTAAGCATCTATTGATCCTGAAGCTCTCAGAGACAGAGAGTATCTACAAGGGAATACAGTTGGTATGAAACACTAATATACCAAAAAACAGTACATATTATCCACACCTCATGCTTCACTGTAGTGGTTGACTTGCACATTGGGAAACAGTGCCAGAAGGTGTAGGCTGCACACCTACAGTTCCCTGCATAAGCACAAGAGGGGTTATGTGGACTAATAACGTAACACCCTGTTTTCCTACCACCCTTATCCACACAGGCTACTTGACCTGTCAGAACTACTAGCACTGAAGGCCCCTAACTAATGGTTAACTGTCTCCTGTGTGCACAGGGCTTGACTGAAATGCTCAGGACCAGCTCTTTGGTTGGCTCCACTCTTATCTTACTTGAAACTGATAAAGAGGGTGCACCTACCCTTACTGCAGCTCCTCGCAAATCCCCGGGCAGAAGCAATCACTTTCTGGCAGATTCTGTCAACAACAAACAGCACCACTTTTCCGCAGTGTCACACCTCTATAGCACAGTCAGGCAACAGCATCTGAGCAATTTACCTTGTTCTCATTCTTATGTGTGCCTTGCTGGTGAGGCTGTAGGGAGAAGGAAGGAAGGAACGAGGTATCATAGTGAGAAATGTTTACCAACTGCTTTACATTTCCCCAGGCTGTTAGCTCTTGCAGTTACAGGAATGACTTCTGATCTTAAACAAATGGCACAGGGTGTGAAAATTGATCAATATTTCTTTACCAGCATCCCCATTTTGAAAGTTACCTCCAGTATAGGGCTGGGAATCTGATACCCAGAAAAGCTCTTCAGGAGAACTATATTGACACTGCATTTAGTAAAAAAAACAGTAGGTGTGATGTTCCTATGTTTACTTATCTCTGTTTATTTTTTCTGCCTTCTATCTATGGGAAGGGGAAAACCAACAAAATCGATGCTAAATGACAGCGTTTCAGCATCTGAATATTGTAACTCAAAGTGATGTTACCAGTTAGACCAAACTGAAAATGAATGTTTTGTTCCTAATACATTAACAAAAAACAGTGAACAAATGTAGTTACAGCTGTTCTTTTTAAACTCAAAATACCAATGCTGTTATACAACTAGAGAACTCACATGAAGGCAAGAATTGTTTGGATTGTAAGTATTTTTCACAAGTAAGTATTTTCATGTGTTCTTAAAACAAACGTATATACATGTTTCATGAATACATGCAAAAATGACATCTCTCTCATTTTGTGTGAAACGTCTTACAGTCCTTACTCAGAACAGCATCTGTTATCATGACAGTAGTTGAACACATGTGACAGGTTTTAAGCAAGTACCTGAACCTTAACACATCTTTAGTTTAGGAGTTCTTGTGAATCACAGCAGGTAGAGGCAGACAGCATAATGGTGAGAGTAATCTGTCTCTTCAAAACCGCTGCTGTTTTAAGATAGGAAAAACAAAATCCTTTCCTGAATTAACATGTTGTAATTTTTATCATAACATTCTTTCTATTAAATATCTTACCTACAGGTGTTAGCATATAAGTTCCTCTAGCACTGATTTAGTTGAATGGCACATAAACGTACCTCACAGCCTCTCAATTCCAAAAAAGATGGTACTTCAGTACAAGTCTGGAACAAGAATAGCTTCATCTAAATCAGTTTAAATTAGTAACAAACATAAAACACACCATGAAACATTACCGCAAAGCTAAAGGAGTTAGGTTACATCTACAAGAAAATGGTTGAGCTTAGATCAATTGGAGTCAATAGTTGTACCAGCACTAGAAATAACTTATCCACTAAGATTGACGTAGCCCAGCAGAGCACACTCTGCAAGCATTCCCTGCAGAAACAGCGGTTTCACATCTCCAGCCATGCACTTCTATTCTCTTGTTGGAGATCAGTGTCCCCACAGGAGGCATGAAAGAACATGTCCTCAGAAGTGTCTCCATCTGCTTCAGTGTGAAGCAGGTTGACTTAATTTGGACAGCTCTTTCTGTAAATTAAGCCAGCCTTTGTACCAAATTGGATAAGGCATGTTCACAGCTTCCAAACCATTAGTTTATATGTGGCAAAGCTGACAACTGTCAGCTACAGGGAGTTACAAACAACAAGAGATGACAATGTCTTTAGCCAGTACAGCCATTTCTTCAGTGAAGGTCTGACCCATATGTCTGATGTGATCATATATCTAGCCAAGGTGCAATATGTACTAACTTGATTTTCACTGGCATAGTGAAAGCATCCCTCTTCCACATGCTCCCCCCCAAGACAAAACAAAGCTGTATTGTTGCAGTTTCTCATTACAGCTTGGGTAAAGTCCATGTGCACTCTAGAGTACGGTTAGAGCCATTTGTGAAAAGACTGCCCAGAGCTGCTTTTTTACCACTGTCCAGCTGCAGGTCTTTTTGCTGCTGCTGCTGAGCCATAGTAAAGTTGGGTGAGTGGTCCTAGCCCATTTCAGCACACATGGTCATTTAAATCTAGGTATCTGCTGATGTTGCATGGACTCAGACTAGGAATACTTACTAATGGGTCTAATTTTAATAACAGTAAAAAAGTTTCAAAAGGTATCTCACATCATTTATTCACAGCTCTTGTGAGAAAACAAGCTTCTGTCCTTGACCTTATGCTGCTCTCTGTAGTACTTTAGGTAGAAATCTCTAATGCAAGGTCTAAGGATCATCTGTGCTGCAAAGTAGTACATATTTCATAAAGTAGAACCACCTGTAGAAAACCCTGGTAGAAACAGGGCACGTACATAGAGTTGAGGCTTTCTAACCTTCATTATATACCTGCTGCAGTTTATATCTACTGCAGCTCTGCAGCAGTTTTTTCTTCCCCATGCAGTATGAGGTGGTACAGGGCTTTTTACGTCAAAAAATAAACTGGAGTTGAGATCTTCCTGGCTTGGGTTTTTTTCGTGTTGATGGGCCCTTAAGTCTCCCCTCAGCAGTGGGTGTCCCCGCTTTGCTCCACCCTTCAGCAGTGCATGTAAATCGGGGGCAGGCCAGGGAGTCCCAGCTGGGAGACATGGTCCCTGCCTGCCAGGACCTCAGTGAGGGCTCAGCAAGCGGAACAACTGGCCACTATGTTTTTTCGACGTTGTTGTAAGCTGGACAGAAAGAGAAAAGTTTCATCCATCCCCCTTTCGCCTCCTCTTGCTGCCGCGTACGGTGGGAGGACTGCTGCATGCAACAGCCTTCAGTGAGGGGCTTGGAACCTCTTCCTTCTGCTCAAGTTTTCCTGGAGGACCTCACGGGTATTTCAGGCTGCAGGAAAATGTACTGGGGAAATTATGTTAGGTAAGGCTGCCTGAGCTGCCCCAGACCTTCTCTAGCCACGGATGCTTTTCCTTTTACCAGTGTTTTTTTTGGCTGATAATCGGGTCAGGAAGCTGAACGGAACAAATGTACCTGGAACTGCGGGTGAAGGCTAATGTTTGTCTCTTGCCTTTACTGCTTTTGTAACTGCTGGCAACAACCTATGTGTGGTAAAGAAATGTGCAGAAAGAGACATTTCTGACTGGCTGTCAACCAGCAAATCTATGGAATCTATAGCTTTCTGAAAGTAAACCTAATCTACATGTCCCTGTTCTCTGCCTGCCATTTCAAGCTAAATTGGAAGGCTTTGATGCCTCAATTCGAATTACTACAGGCACATAAAGTATTTATAGTTTACACTCTGAATGGCTGACAAAACTTTGAAAAAGCTCTTCTCCCTCGCCCCAAAATCTTCGTTTTGGTGTTTGTGTCTTATTAGCACGAACTTATTTCAGCTCTTTATTTTTTGTAGAATTCTTTTCACTGTGACTCTGGTCTGGCAGGCGGTTCATTTAGGAAAAGGTAAGGAAAATTTCGTGGGTTTCCCCCCGCCCCCTCTGTATTTCTCTTGTACATTTACAGTATGCATTGCTTCATCACAAGCTACACTTCTCTTCCATATTTGCACTTCTTGTCAAGGTCATGAAAAAGAAGAACGTGAAGAAGATGTGAAAAGTCTCAATGCCACAGCACAAAAGCAGCAGCCCAAGAACGAAGGGACTATTATAAATGCTTTCAGTGACATGAATCGGAGTTATGAAAGCAGAAAGCAACAGAATTCCAGGGCATTGGTACCTTTCACTGGGATTACAGAGAGTAGGTAACATTATTTATTTAAACAATGCCATAAAATTACTTTTGAGAATACTGTATCATAGTAATGTTTTGATTGGTGTCCTGGAAGATTCCAGCGGGTTGATTTTTCCGTAGCTGCTTGCTTAAATTATTCCCGTGGCCACTTCTGATATGGTGATAAAAATTTAAGGTAGAACTGGGAGCCCTTACCTGCAAAAGGTGGTACCGGAAAACAGGGAAGGATACTTGGAATTAAGGAGGTGTTGGTCCCTTGGACTTGCAAAAGTGTTTGTAAAATTCTTTTCACTTTTTAAAATTAACCACATTTCATGACCAAAAATTATTTTATTTTAAAAAAGTTTGAAAGGTCTGAAAGCAGCAGTACTAACAGGGAGGGGGAAGAAAAGGACAGATTTATGTTTCCTCCCACAGATATAAAGTTTTAGATTGGTATTCAATCCCAGGAGTCCTGAGAAAGGTCTGAGGGAGCATTCTTCTCCCAGCTCAAAACTAAGCGACTACTCCCACTAAGAAAGCCTCAAAGCCTTGAAAAATAAGCACCGCTGCCCGGTAATAATGCCCCATTTCTCTTAGTGTGACTGAAACCTGCCTCCCTCAAAGTTAAATATTTCCCTTGAATGCATGCCCCTGCTGCTGCGGGACTTGCCAGGCGTTGCTTCTTGACCGCCCTGTAATCCCTAGTAGTTTGCTTCTAATCCTTAACTAAACAAACTGGGCTTAACTGAACAAACACTCCTAACAGGCAGATAATTTTACTGTCTCTAAAGACAATAAAAGTAGATATCCTTAAGGTCCTTTGGCAACTGGAGAGACCCGAGAGACGAAGTGAGGAAAAAGGGAGGGAGGTTCGGAGCCCCCGTGATGCTTGGTAACCTCTGTAATATTGTCCTGCAGGTAAAAAACTGAACAGACACTGCTGCCAAAACGGGGGGACCTGTATCCTAGGGGCTTTCTGTGCTTGCCTAAAGCATTTCACGGGCAGATACTGTGAGCATGATGAGCGGCAAAGGTAAAAACCAGGCCAAAACCAGCGAGCGTGAGCGAGCTGCTGTGGATGGCTGTTTTCTGTGGTGGGATCAGGGACTTCCCAAATGTCTCCCTTGTCCTTGACAGCAACTGCGGCAGCATTGCCCATGGCGCCTGGGTGCTGAAGGGCTGTTGGCTGTGTCGGTGCGGCTACGGTACTCTGAACTGTCTCTCAGAAATAATGCACGATAACTGTGGTAAGGAATGGCATCAAGTCAACCATTTTTATCTTGTGGGTAACTGAATTGCCTTCTGCTAAAAGTGGTGTACTCGAAGGGTGCTGTATGTGCTCTCTTTAGTCTTCTGCAGTGGCCTGCTTTGCTTCAGAGAATTCATTAGTGAGACAATAAATAACACTGCTGTTGCCTGTATAGTACATCACATAAAATACTCCAAGTTCTCTATGATCTTGTGCAGTAGGAAACTTCCCCCATTTTAATTGAAAATCACTGGTACTACATGTTTCTCTCTTCTGTGAAACCTGCACGTGTCTCTGATTTCCCACTTAACCAGGACAATTTGTACAACTAAACTACATCCAAGAATATAAAAATGTTAGATGAAGAAAGAGGAAAAACCAGTAGTGTGAGCTGATGTGGTAGAAGTAGAAACCAGTATTACATTAGAGAAACAAGTACTGAAAACTTTCATGTTCTTTCATAGGGTACTTAACACATAAATAGAAAACTAGTCTGAACCTTGTTTTAAGATCTCTATCTTTAAAAGTCTGGGACAGAGTTCTAGAACTGAGCATACTCCACAAAAAATGTGTAGCCATAGTCCTGATCAGTGTAAAGTAGTAGCACCCAATCTCTTCAAAAGGACTGTATTGCTTTAAGTCTTTATACATCAGCCAGTGAAAACCCCTGTATAAAGGTTTGAGTATTTTTGAAAGCAGTGTATCAGCTAGCATAAAAACTTGAAGCATTTCTTTACAGGTACTTATTTTCTATGGAAAACTGGCTACTGAAATCCAGGCTATTATCAATACTCTGAGATGACTAATGGGAGTTTAATATTTCATCTCCAGTGGCAAAGTTAGTGTAAAATATTCTTCCCCAGATTCTCCATCTATGATGTCTCAGTCCCACCCCTTGCTGTAATATATTTTCCTTCAGTTATGCCAACGTCACTAGTTAGCAGGGCAAGAAAACAGACATAAATAGCTTCAAGATTCATTTGCACCCCAAGGAACTACCAGCCTGTTCTTCCCTGACTAGTTTCCTATCTGAGTAGTGGTGCATTGAAGCTGTGACTCTTGAGTTATACTCAGAAGTAAATACGAATTTCAAAACTTGAGCCTCATGTGTCCCCAGGATATGCCCTACTGTGTGATAAACCCACAAGTCCAAAGAAGTGAAATGTAGAAGAAAGGTGTCATTCTTATCTTTGCAACTACAGACACACACAAAAAAAGAAACAACACCAAAAACCCAAAACCACTTTTGCCTTGAAGTCATCTGTATTGACTAATTAAGTGTGGCACCTGACTTGCACATTAAACTCTTCAGAAGAGTTAAATGCTCAAGTTTCCTAGGGTGTTCACCTTTGAATCACTCCTGTTTTTTCCCGTTACAGGGCCAAAAGACTTAAGAAGCCTAGCCATGCTCAGTGAAAGCAGTCTACTGCTTGCTACTCTTGAGCTCAGCTTAACAAAGGCAATAAAGGTGGCAGTGGAGAATCATCTGTTCATCCTCTGAGCAGGGACTCAGTGGCTTTCACATGCATGAGCGTATGGCTTGTGCTAATAAATAAAGGCTCTTGTTGTTAAAGGAAGGGTTAAAAGGCTACATGCAGAATTGAGTGCATACCTCTTGTGAAGATCTTGTTCTTGCTTTGGCTTTTGCTTGGTATTTACTTTTGATTATTCTGAGATTAATGCCTCTAAGAGCTGATAAGTGCTATCAGTTGCTCCTCAAACGATCATTGATGGGACATCTATTCACATCTCTCCCCTGAGAATAGCCTCTTTGATTGGCTTTAACAGCTGATGCCTTTAACTTAAGTACCTGTGAGATGTCAGAGGACTTTCAAAGTATGTTGAAAATGTTTAAGTTTTTAAATTTACATATTTTACTCATTAACCATCTTATTTTCTTGATATTTTTGTAGAACAGAAATCAGAAAAGGAGGAAATTACCAGACTATATTCTAATGGCCTAAGATTACAGCAAACAGTGTTTGCACTCACTTGCCTGCTCACTGTCCTCCTGGAGCTCTGTTGCTGGCAGTTGTGAAACTGGACAAAGGAAAATATCTTAGGGTTGATGTAACCCTCACCATGAGTCACACAACTTTTGTCTTCTGTGAGCTACAGGAGACACTTCTACTTACATGTTGGAGGCAGATTAAGATGTATTAGTTAATGCTGAAATGCATGGTTTATTATAAATTGAGATTATATGAATGTGAAGTATTTATTATTATTTTATTATTATTATT